GGAGAGAGAGATAGAAACATCAATGATGAGAGAGGATCATTGACTGGCTGCCTCCTGCACGTCCCCCACTAGGGATCGAGCCCGCAACCTGGGCATGAGCCCTGACCGGGAATTGAACTATGACCTCCTGGTTCATAGGTCAATGCTCAACCACTGAGCCATGCTGGCCAGGCTGGAGCTACTTCTTCAAATGACTAATGTGGAAACCAAGAAAGGGAAGCTCCCAAAAAACTGTGGGCCCCTAGAACCAAGGAAGGGGGCTTTAGCATATGTCCTTCAGCACTAGGCGCTACCTTTAGTCTGTCCAGAATGTGCCACTGCTTCCCACTCCTCTCAACTCCATCATCGCTCACCAGGACCAGCAGTCTCCACAGATCTCCACCCCGCTCCAGTCTGTCCTCCTCACAGCAGCCACCAGAGGCCGCCGGTGAGCAACAGAGTCAGGTCCTCTCTCTGCTCTGCCCACAGCCTGGGAGAGCTCCCTGGGGTGAAAGCCCAAGTCCTCCCCTGGCCTACAAAGCAACTGGAGCCTGCAGCCCTGCAAAGCAGGCTGTCCTTAAACATAGCGGGGGGGGGGGCAGCCACAGGGCCCCCTCCCCGATGAACTGGAATGGTCTGGCCAGCCTGTGGGCACAGGAGCACAGTCCCTGGAGGCTATACAGGAGGTGGTAGAGGCCGCACTGTGAGGGCACAGCAGGGAAGGGAGCTGAGCACTCAGCTGCCTGAGTCAGACACCGTCTAACTTAATGATCGCATTTCACTATCGCATTTTACAGGGAAAACGGGTTTGGAGAAATTTAGGGAGTTACTCAAAGGTGAAAAACCAGACATTGTATCTCAGAATCCAGAAAAGCAATCAACAAAATTTAACATGAACTTGATGTTCAAAAAAACGAGGAAAAAAAAGTGAGGGTTTTAGGAAAAACTGACTTTACTTAAAAATAATTCAAAGCAAAAACTCATGGCAAACAAATACGTACCACCCATAGGACAAGGGGAGAGTGGCCAAGAGCTTCCACTGGGGGTGGGGGACAATAGCACTCACCAATGCAATAAGGCAAGAAAAAAAGGGGGGGGGGCTAGCTGGTATGGCTCAATGGATAGAGCGTCGGCCTGAGGACTGAAAGGTCCCAGGTTCGATTCCGGCCAAGGGCACATACCCGGGTTGCAGGCTCCATCCCCAGTGGGGGGTGTACAGGAGGCAGCCGATCAATGATTCTCTCTCATCATTGATGTTTCTCTCTCTCTCTCTCCCTCTCCCTTCCTCTCTGAAATCAATAAAAATATATTTAAAAAAAAGGGGGGGGGAATGAAGATTGGAAAAACAAAATTTTAGAAAATCCAAGAGAACCAACTGACCA